TTCTCTATATATGTGATTAGTTCTCTCAAGTAATAAGAATAATTTTTTAAGGACTCCCAGAAAAAAAAAAACATGGTACGCAAAATCAATAGTTAAAAAATGTATTATAGATTATTATGCTTTTCTATAGGTAATTTGGTCATATGGAGAAGTAACAAATTAAATGTAGTAGAGAGATCTAGTGAGGAGTTAGAATTTTCAAGCAATGACTCAGAGTATATGAGCTACTATAGTTGAAAATGATCTTAAAATATCTAAGAATCAAATGGATGGCTCCATGCGTCTCTAATGTGCATCAAGTCAGTTATAAATGTTGTTCATAATCTACTATAACACGACAAGATAAAACATATTGAAATTGATAGATATTTCATTAAAAAGAAGTTAGGTAGTGGTCTAATATTTACACTGTACATGCTTGCCAACCCTCAACTTGCAAACATTTTGGCTAAAGGCTTGAGTTACCTAGTAGCCAGACAATTATTGCCAAGTTGGGAAGAATAATATCGATTCCCAAGTTTGAGGAGTGTTAGAAAATTTACATGACATGTAATTAACTAAGGTTAAATTAGGTTAAATTAAATGTCTCTATTGTGACAATAAGTCTGCTATAAGTATTGCTCATAATTCAATACAAATACGATAGGACAAATTTTATTGAAGTTGACAGAAACTTTATTAAAGAGAAGCTAGATAGTGGCATGATATGTACACTGTATATGCCTACCTACTCCTAGCCTGCAAACATTTCGATTAAAGGCTTGAATAAACTAGTATTTCACACAATTATTGCCAAGTTGAGAATGGATAATATCTATTCTGCAACTTGAAGGGGATTGTTACAAAATGTACATTTTATTTAATTAACTAAGGTTAAATTAGGTTAACAAATATAATGGTAGAATATAAGCCTATGTAATTAACTGTTGGTTTCCTTTCTTATTCTCAAGAACTTTTATATATAGGGTTATAATATTTAATAAAATAGATAATACATAATTCTTAACAGACTGTAATATTATGTAAAGTAATTACGGATGGTCATTGAGTAGTTTAAAAGCTTAACTTGATAGGAAATAGTCAAACTTTATCATTTATATTCTAGTTATAATATTCTCTTACCATATCATGTAGACAGAAATATGATATTTTATAAAGAAAAAAGAAAGAATCAATGTTGTTAGATCTTCAACTAATTATTCTTTTCTAGTGTCTTTAACCATCCGAGACCAACTTCAAGAGCTCAATAGTGTGGACTCATACATTTCTTTAATAGCAATCTTCAATACAAGGTATATGTAAATTTTCTTACAACTATCAACAGTGAGATAAATCCATGTATTTATCCAAATGAATGCCTGAAATGTCTTCTCTCATTATTACAAGGTTGTATTTGTTGCCTTAATATTTTTCAAGAAAAAGTATCTGTTGCCTTAATGCTTGCATTGAATCCATGTCGATGTTAGATGTTTCTCTGTACTTAAGCCATCCAGATATATGCAATTTATTTGCAGATTATCAAGGTTTGACAAGTTCCTTTTGTCATGGGAAGATCTATTGCTCCTCGATTACAGCTAGGCTAGTAAATATGAAAATTGGGATCCCATGGGACAGGTTAGAAGTTTTGCCCCTCAATCATAAGATAAGGATTGCGGGCATTGATGTGACATGCTTGGACGCAAATCACTGCCCAGGATCCATCTTGATACTTTTCGAGCCACCTAATGGTAAGGTGTGGTTCAAATTAACCTCATGAGATATTATGAGTGCAAAGCATCTTTCCTTTTGATCTCTGAAATTGATATTGTTTCAAATTTATGCAATCAGCCAGTTCTGCACACTGGGGATTTTCGCTATTGTGAGAAAATGGCAAGCATGCTGCATGAATGTCATATCCATACTCTCATCCTTGATACCACTTATTGTAATCCCCAGGTTAGTATATGTGAAAAACAGAATATTCCTTGGCAATTGCTTAGCCAAAGTTTACTTTGAAATTCAATATAATTGCCAAGCCAAAGTTTACTTTGAAATTCAATTATATTGAACTTGCTAATATTACCTCATTTTATCTCTATTTTGTCATTGTTAATTTCCTTTATATACATTTTTTTGAGGTATATCATATAGCAAGCACTAACAAGAAAATGAGGAAAAAGATTTGCACATGCACATAATTAACCATAGTTAGACCCATAAAACAGTAGCCATGCAGTTCGAAATCCCTAGTTAAGTAATCAAAATCGATGAACAATTTGTTGAATCTTTACTCTGTGGGTGGTTAACTTGAAATATTTTTCTTTAACTTCCTACCCATGTAATGGAGGGAAGAAGGAAATAACATACAATTAAGGAGAATAAGGAGAACTAGATGATCAAAGGAGAGCAAACAAATAAATAAATCATAAATACAATCAATCAAATCTCTAAGTGCTGTAAATAAATGCTTCCCAGTTCTGATGGAGGTCTGTGATGCTAATGAAAGAGTAGTAGCCATGTGCCTTGACCCAGAGTGTAGTAAAAAGAGTTGCCTTTCCCATGGCTCATGTAAGGATGTAGTCCAATCCTTAAATATCATGAGGTTCCTCGCTAACCAAATACACCGTAAGCCTGCAAATATAGCCCCTTTCCAGAAGTATCAAATGCAAATTGTAAGTTACTTGGTTTAATGTCATTTCCTGCAGTACGACTTTCCAAAGAAGGAGGCCGTAATACAATTTGTCATTGAGGCTATTCAGGCAGAAGCATTCAACTCCAAAACTCTTTTTTTGATTGGCAGTTATACCATTGGTACGGTCCACCATTTCACTTCGTTCTTCCCTCTAATTTTACATCTAAAGCTTGCATAAGGAAGTTGTCACTTTTATCGCAGCAATACTTTTAACACGTGTTGTAGCAATACTTTTAACTCTTTCTCCCCCTGCTCTACAAGGAAAAGAGAGGCTATTCTTGGAGGTTGCTCGTGTTCTCCGTAAAAAGGTCTACATTACTGGAACGAAGCTTCGTGTCTTAGAATGCTTGGAGTTTCCGAAGGAAGATATGCAGTGGTTCACCATAAATGAACAAGAAAGCCACATACATGTTGTGCCCATGTGGACTGTTGCCAGCTTCAAACGATTGAAGCATATATCAAATCAATATGCGGTAAGCAACAGATTGGTCTCAACATTTCAGGCTCATTTTGAATTTTAAGAATATGATTTCTCCAAACTGGTGACCTTTGGAGATTAACTGAAACAAATATGTTTTGCAAAATATTAATATACAAACCCAAAAGCATTTGTTGCCCCAACTTCAGTATCACTTCTGTTAACCTTCAAATTCTGGTGTGAAAGCCTAACAATTTGCTTTTTCAACTTGTATGTGCTGATTATATACTAAGTTTCTATATGATTATTCACATTTGAGGGTTTGGCTTTTGGTCAGGACCGGTTCAGCCTTATAGTTGCTTTCTCTCCTAGTGGTTGGACATTTAGTAAGGGGAAGAAAAAGTCTCCAGGAAGAAGGTGGCAGCAGGGTACTGTAATAAGGTGATGACGAAGGCATATTTTCCCATCTACTTAAACAGCTAACCGTCTGGATACTACCAAGATGTTTAAAATATAAAAGCTGGCACCTTAATAAAAGTTTTTTCAGTTAGAGAAGGATGAAACTTACAAGAAAAAAGGAAAAATATTGTTGATTAATCTGTCGATGTCATCAGACATATTTGTTTATCTGATGAAACTGTGTAGAACTCTAATGACTATTATGGCTTGATCAGAAGATCCTGGATAACTTGAAAACTTATCTGTTACCGTCTGAATTGATATATGGTTTTGAACATATAAATATTTGAGTGACCAAAGATTAGTCCATGTATTTTGTAGGTATGAAGTGCCATACAGCGAACATTGCAGCTTCACAGAACTGAAGGAGTTTGTTAAACTTTTTTCTCCTGAAAGGATAATACCAAGTGTCAATAATGATGGATCAGATTCTGTGAACGCCATGGTTTCTCTCCTTTTATCTTGATTTGTTTCCGGGTGGAAGTATTTATAGATGGTCGAAGATGGTTCTTTCACGAGCTGTGCTAATGGATTTGGTAGGCCATGCAACCGAGTGAAGGACGCTACACAAGGTAGACAGACTATTCAATTTTAGAAACAAAGGCTAAAATTCTAAATGAAATGAATTTTAAATGGTTATGATTTGAAAATTTTGTTAAAGATTGTGTTGAGAGAATTTCCTTTTTCATTGTAATAATTGTAAGTAGATGATTGAACTTTAAACTGTATTTTTATTTATGTCGTTATCAGAATAAATAAAAAAGTGAAGATATGAAGAGTAATCACATACTGTAATATAAATTTTAATTTTATAAAATATAAAAAAAAATATAACATGAATATAATAAAATTTTAAATAAATATAGTATTTTAATTTTAAAGTAATTTTATATTTAAATTTAAATAATTTTTTGACATGAAAAAAATATAAGATTTATTATTAAAAAAACTAATTTTATTATATATGAAATCTTAGTTATAAATTTTATGTATTAAATATTTTTAATAAAATATATTTAATTAATTGCGGATACGTACTACAACAAATTTGACTGAATAGTTAATTAGCTTATCATGATGACGTAAATGCATGCGTAAGCAGTTTAAATATGTTTACTAAATGAGGCCACCGCGGTTTGACTTCCGTTTTTAGCGTTTACTAAATGTTTGACCCCCTCGAGAATGAAATATTGTCGGTTGTCTCGCACACATCGTCGTGTTACACTTGGCTGCCACCCTTCCATGCACGTCTTAGAATTAATACACACACACACACTATATATATACATATACATGATAATTTCATAAATAATCACGTACACATATACTATTAACGATCTTATGATGAATCGGATCTACTTATGGTTTGTTTTTAATCTCCATTAAGTTAATTCTTTTGAAAAGAAAAATTTTCCATTTATGTATTTTGTTTTATGTATTATAATTTTCTTTTAAGTTAACTGTAAATTTAAAGTCCAAAATAATTAATAATATGCCCATGGCTAAAATATTATTAATGATTAATCTGCTATTGAACCTTTTTTAAAATGAATTGTTCATTTAACAACAAGGGTGATATAAAGTTTTTTTGTCATATTATATTTTAGATGTGTCATGATCTCTAAAAAGACACATAAATTAATTCTAAATATGTATAAAATAATATAATATTTAAATACACTTATTCGGTATATTATTTTCAAAAATAATTTAGGTTATTTATAGTGTCAAATCTAAACAATCAAAGAGAATTTTTTGCTTGTATTTTTTATTTTTATTTTTTGAGTTCATTTAACTTTCAAGTTTGTTTCCTTGCTCATGTAACACATGTACTATTAACTTTTATATTAATTTTTTTTGGTGAATTTAACTTGTGTAGCACATGTACTACTAATGTTTATTTTAAAGATTCTGTATATCATTCATATTTATTTTCAGTAGCATTAATTTTTATTATGTCGTTGATACATATGTGAAAAGATGAAATTAGTCATGTAATTTATGCTTTTATCTAATAAACACATTTAATTTTCACAAAATATCATGTTCAATCTCTAGTTGAAAGTGTTAGCATATCCGTGTGCATAATTAAACTCAAATGATTCATGTATCTACTACATTATCATCTTTTGTGTATATAAAAATATGCTCTACTCATAGATAAATAATAGAGCCCTTTCTTCTCAATTTAGTACTTGTCAAATAATTAATTGATATTTTAAAATTTTTAATAGTCTCGTACTTGTATTTATTTGTATCTAATAGAATTTTTTAAGTTTGACTAAGTTCAATACTTCCATATTAGTCTTTTTTTTTTTAATATAATTTAATGTAAATGCTAGCTCTAATTCATTAATTTATATCTTAGAATCATTATTTTTCTTAAGGTCTCAAAAGTTAGCTTGTTAATTCTTTGGATGTTGTCTTAGTTTATTTCATGTTTCATTGAGATATTTTGATTTTTTTTATTTTTTTTTAAAAAACACTAATTATCTTTTGCAATAAACACTTTATGCAAACTAATTATTTTTAAAAAATAAAAAATTAACTACCAGAATTAATTAGAATAAAGTAAAATTATGATAATTCTATGTATTAATTGATTCTAACTCACCCCACATTTGGAAGCAGATGAACAAGACACGTACGTCATGTCCGTATTATGTATACTCTCGACGAGATGAATCTTCCTTAGAGGTGCGCGGCAAAACAACATTGATTAGACATTCTAAGTGTCTAAATCAGTATTATATATTTTAACTGTTTTTTTTTTTTGTTTCTCATTACATTGAGGTTATAATTAATATAAATTTTTTTAATGTATTTTTAATATTAAAAAATAACCAATGAACTAACTTGTTTTGGGAAATCAAAAGACTAAATTAAATTTATATTTGCTTTACTTACTCTAATATTTCTTTTCCCATAATTATAATAATTTGTTGGCACAAAAATTAATTTCATCATCGTATTTATTAAAATAATAGTAGATTAAATCTTAATTTACGTTTTCGAATATTATAAATTGATCATTATTAATATATTTATTAAATAATGTATTTATGTATTCAGTAATATTTAAATTTATAATCTTAAATAAAATATTAAAATTTTAATTATTAGATTACTTTATAATAATAAATTAAAATTTATTTAATTAATGAAATAAAAAAGATACCAAGAAATAAAAAATAAAACGCACATGGATTTTCCAAAAAGAGAAAAAAAAAAAAACAAAAACAAAAGAAGGAAAGCTCTGGGCAGCGCATGTAGACCACTTAAGCTTCCAGCACGAGTAATTCTTTCTCCACGTGCTGCACAGAATTGGTCCTACCGCGTTTGTCATATTATTACCCAACCATATCCTGCCACGTGTACACTCTTTCCTTTAACGCTTCTCTTCAACACGTTTATTCAGACCTTCAAAGTAAACACTCGACTCCTCTTGCCTCCGCCTGTATGTATGTCTCTCTATATATGTATAAACGGAGCCGCCATTTTCAGTGTGGAAGAAGCAGAATCAAATTACGCCTCTAAAAGAAAAAGAAAAACAAAAACAAAAACAGAATTCTGGAAGGGTTGATGGAACAATCCTTCAACAACACAACCAGTACTGATCTCAAGTACAAGGGTGTAAGAAAGCGGAAATGGGGGAAGTGGGTGTCGGAAATCAGACTTCCCAACAGCCGGGAACGCATTTGGTTAGGCTCCTACGACACGCCGGAGAAGGCGGCGCGTGCTTTTGACGCGGCCCTTTACTGTCTCCGAGGACCCCAAGCCAAGTTCAACTTCCCGGAAAACCCCCCGGAGATCGAGGGTGGCCGGTCGATGTCTCCCCAACAAATACAGTTGGTAGCGAGTAGGTTTGCCAACGAGGAGCCACAGCCACCTGTACATCATCATCATCATCATCATCAAGATGGTACGGATGGTGGTGATAATTCGTCACGTGCAAATATCGAAACGTCGTCGTCTTCAGTGTCAGATGGGACAATAGGTCAAGTTGAAAGTGACATGAACAACGTTTTTTATGAGACATGTGACGTGAATCATATCGATTGGTCGTATTGGAACATGTTGGATTCCGGAGTGACTGCATGCGATTTTGGGTTTGTCCCACCACCACCAGAACCAACCATTTTTGATAATGGAGACGATGATGACATCACCCCTGAAGATGATTTTTCAAACCAGTCATTTCTTTGGAACTTCTAAGCATATATATATGTCTCTCTTCGCTTCAAAATTTTTACCTGGGTCAAGAGATTATTATAATGTTTAAACTACAGGACTGGGTAGTTGGATAGTGAAGAGATGGGCGATTTTTAGCTGCTCATCTATCTTCCAACCCTCTCTGTCTCATAAGCTGCCTAATTTTTCAAAAGGGCTAAAGGTTGCTTCTGATTTCAGAGCGAGAAATGGCTGAATTTTTATGCCATCCTTCAATCTGTAATTCCCACTTGTATTATGTAGAGATGTCATATATATTTTTGTCGTAGTCAGCCTTTTTTGTTTAGAGGGGAATCTTCAATTTTACTATCAGAATATTCCATCCCTGCAATATCATTATTCAAATCACATAATATAATATTATAATAAAAAAAGCAAACAGTATAATCTTTTTTATTTTGTTGCTTTGCTTAAGTATGTTTCTTCCTTTGAATCTGCAGTTTCCATATAGACTCATGAGCACTGTATATAAACATAATACTCTCTCCTCATCTGGCAGCTTCTTCTTTTCACATAGGCGTACAATGTATACACGTATATGTATGTGTAAGGAGAAAAACCATCCTTAGTCAAAAGAGAAGCCAAGAAATCAGGTGGTTCCATATCCATAACGATATTACGGTATATTCCACATTAATTGATGCATATTTAGTTTTAGTGGTAAGTATAATATTCTTTTAAGAATTTGGTCTTGGAAATGAATTTCATTTGTGAAAAAAAATAAATATACCTCTTCAAAGAAAGAAAACTCCAAGCTTAGCTAAAGAAATTTAGCTAGCTTTTGACTACTAGCATGCCCCACAACATTTAAGCCATTTAGTTCATAAGCATACTCTACTAGGCCTATTTTATGACTCCTACTAACCTCATAAGTTTTTAAAATCTTCAAAGTATAAATGAATATGTCAAAGGTAAGCTTAAATAGTAAAATAACTCTTGTATTATTAATACTTTTTTATTTAAGTATTTAAACTTTTCTTTCTTCCGTATAAGCCCCTATACATTTAAAATCTTTCTAAGTAAATATTTACAATTAATAGGAGTTAACTTTCCGTTAATCAACACCATGTATTTAACCCACGTGTAATTGGCTAGCTACTTATTAATAATACATATTTTTTTTTTCACCAATCCTCATATTAGTTTTTTTTTTATTATGTATAAATTGTTGGATATTTTTTAACATATGCGCTTAATGTGTGCTTTAGTACGCGTATTAAACTATCAATTTAATGGACTCGTTTAAAAGTAATCAAATATGTTTAAACAATATTGAGTCTCAATGCATCGAGTTTAAGTATGAGTTTATTATGTACATATATCATTTTTGTAATATTCTCATTTTATGATGGACGAAATAAAAATTGTAAAAGTTGTGATATAAAAGGCAGTTATAGTTCCCGATCACAAAGTTGCCATTTTATTTTCCTAGAATTCCGTCACCAGAAAAAATTAGTTTTAAGATACCGTGTTGATTCGGAAGATTTTACTGCTGGATGCGAATAATTCTTCTACGATTGATTTAAGTACATTTTCGCTTACACTTCTCATTATTGTCAATGGTCAAATCTCCTACTTGGGTTTTATATGACATTTTAACTATGCGTTAAATAATCATAGGAGTACTCAGAACTGTGGTATCAATACCTGAATGCATCACCAAACAATCTCGTTCATCGATCATAAAGACATTGGATCAAAGCGGCCTTCGCTACAGCTAACATAGTTAAACCCATGAATGATCACGTATATCATTATAACCGAACGACATGGATCAAACATGAATATGCAGTATAAAAATTACATGCTATATGATTTAAGTATACTTATTTTCAACTGATCCTACTTTAACCTTAATGAGCTCAATTATAAGAAAAATCAAAGATAATATATATAAATAAAACTAAAACACAAAAACTTGAATGAAACCATTCTAAAGTACAAAGTTTGTGACATATCTTATAAAATAGATGCAATTATGGTATAAGACTCCCACTGAAACTACACATTATATAGGGATACAACACCCATATGAGCAGTGTGCTCATGAAAGGCCTTAGGTAATAATCCCTTAGTGAGCAGATCCACAATCATGGAGTTTGTTCTAATATGCTCTATCGATATCTATTTAATCTGAACTCTTTCTTTAACAATGAGGAACTTAATATCCATATACTTTAATTTCGTTGAGCTCCTACTGTTGTTGGAATACATAACTGCAAACTTATTGTCACAAAATATCTTTAATGGTCTTCTTATGCCATTAATAATACGCAGCTCAGTGACAAAATTTTAGAGCCATATTTCACGATTAAATGCTTCATAACAAGCTATAAATTCTATTGCCATGGTAGAAGAGACTACAAGTATTTGTTTAGCACTCTCTCAAAAAATAATTCATCTAGTAAGCAAGTAAATATAGTATAATGTAGATTTTCTACTGTCTTGACATCTGACAAAATCAGAATCAGAATAACCAATGATCTCCAACTGATCTGACCTCCTGTATGTGAGCATATAACATTTTATTCTCTGTAGATACAGTATGACAAGTTTGGCTATTTTCTACGATCCATACCTAGTTGTTTAAATATCTACCTAATATCTCAACAATGTACGCAATATCTGGATGCATACAAACCTGTGCATACATAAGACTCCCTACAATTGAAGCATAAGAATCTTTTGCATATCTGTAGTCTCTAGATAATTCTTGAAGCATTGACTTAGAGTAAATTTGTCTCCTTTAGATACAAGAGAGTCACCTGGTTTACAATTCTACATGTTAAACCTTTTAAGAACCTTTTCGATATAATTCTTTTGTGATAATCTAAGAATAACCCGAGAGTGATCCTGGTACATCCCCAAGACCTTTATCTCAAATTTTCTTATCAAAAATCTCTTAATTTCATGCAATAAATCTATATTACTACTAGCAAGTAGTATGTCAACGACATATAAGATCAGAAAAATATATTAACTCCCACTGAACTTGTAGTATACATAATATTCCACTAAATTCATCTCAAAATCAAACCAAATGAAGATTTGATAAAATTTGTGATACTATTGATGGGAAGCCAACTTAAATCCATAGATGGATTTTTTTAGTTTGTAAATCATTTGCTATGCATCTTCGGATACAAAGTTTTCTAGTTGCACCATATAAATCATCTCATCAATATCACAATTGAAAAATATTGTTTTAACATCCAGTTGACGTAACTTAAGATTAAAATGTGCCACTAAAACTATTATAGTCTTGAAAGAGTCTTTCGACAAAACCAGAGAAAAAGTTTCTTTATAATCGATGCATTCTTTTTATGTAAAACCCTTAACGACAAGATGAGTCTTGTACCTCTCCACATTAACTTACAAATCCCTCTTTGTTTTAAATATCTATTTGCAACTAATGAGTTTCACATCCTTAGGCAATGAGACAAGATCCCAAACATCATTTTTCTTCATGGATTTTATCTCTTCATTCATGGCATCTATCCACTATTGAGAGTTAGAACTTTCCATGACTTGACGAAAGTTGATAAGATCATCTTCCACCGTACCAATGTCAAACTTATGTTCTTGGAGATATACAATATAATCATTTAGAATTGCACTTCTCCTCTCTCTAGTGGATCTTCTTAACGATATAAGTTCTTAAGAGTGTGAAGTTTATACTTTAAGAATAGTTTCTTGAATAAGAACAAGAGATACTATGATATTGTCTTGATCTGAAATTGCTTCTTGAACAATGTTAGGTATAAGAATCTGATCCTGATCATTGTCAAGAGTAACTGAGGGAATAGGAATATCAATCCATTGTTCTTGAAAGACAACATCTCGAACTCTTTCTTTCCCCGCAAACTCAACATCCTTAAAGAATTAGACATTTTCTATCTAAAAAATTATCTTAGTAGTGGGATCATAAAACTTGTAATTCTTGAATCACTCGAAATAACCAACAAAATAGTAACTAACAGTCCTGCAGTCCAATTTCTTTTCTTGAGGCCTATAAGGTCTAGCCTCAGCTAGACATCTCCAAATGTGTAAATATCTTAAATTAGACTTATTTATTGTCCAAAGCTCATATGAGGTCTTTGTAGTTGCTGTAGTGAGAACTCTATTGAGTAGATATGTTGCGGTCTTTAATGTTTCTCCCCAGAGTGATTCAGGTAAGGTAGAATGACTAATCATATTCTTCACCATATCTTTAAGTGTTCTGTTTCACCTTTCAACAATACCATCTTGCTAGGAGAACCTGACATAGTGTGCTATGGGACGATACTGCATTCTTCTAACAATCGAGCAAACAGCTCTAAACACTGTTCACCTAATCCATCATATCTACCATAGTATTCACTATGACGATCAGATTTAATAGCCTTAATTCTTTTGTTGAGTTAGTTCTCAACTTCTGCTTTAAAACTCTTGAACACATCTAAGGACTAAGACTTCTCATGAATGAGATATAGGGAGCCATATCTGCAATAATAATCTATGAACATTATGAAATATTATGACCATTCTAAGAAGCCGTAGGAAATGCTTCACAAATATATATATGAATAAGTTCTAATACGTCTATAATCCTGTTGGCACCTAATCTCTTAATGTTTGTCTGTTTTTCCTTTATACAAATGACAAATATATCAAAATTTATAAAATCAAGGGGATCTAGAATTCTATCTGACACAAGTCTCTCAATCCTCCTTTAGGAAATGTGACATAATCTCTTGTGCTACAGTAAAGTGAAGTTCTCCTTGGTTAATGTTCTCTGTATACCTCTAGTACCAACATGTAAGAATTCATTATAAGAAGTAATTATATCAAACAAATAAAGATTATCATGCATTGATAAAGAACCAGAACCAACCATATTTAAATTAAGAAAAAAACTAAATTTTTTATTTTCAAATGTATATGAATAACCAAATTTGTTTAATACAGAAATATAAATAACATTATGTCTAAATGACGATACAATAAAAGTCTTTTCTAAATTCAAATAAAACCCAGTTCTTAACAGCAATCTAAATTTGCCAATTGCTTCTAACTCAATTAGTTTACCATCGCCTACATAAATAAATCTGGCACCATCACTTAGCTTGCAGCAATGGAGGCAAACTTGCATTCACGCACTGATGTGAGTTGTGACACTAGAATCTATCTATTAGGTGTGTATAGGTACAAAAGTTAAATTAACCTCAAAATAAATAAAATTAAGAAACATATATTTCTTTACGTGCCACGCATGATAGTCAGCACATTGCTTCTTTTGGTGTCCCGGAGCTTTACAAAAGAAACAAACATTTTCGATTTGAACATTCTATT